TCAAATGTTTGATGTACCCAAGTCTGTAAGTCTTCAGTTGATATTTTATGTAGAAGATAAATGATTTCGTTAAAAATATGAGTTCTGTGTTCTTTATTTACATTGTACTGAGCACCACGGGTTTAGCATTTGTTATCAAGTTCCTTGCTTTAAACTCTAGGATGGGCAAAGGGTGAATTCACATTGTGTAGCTGGATCATCTTTGCTTAAGCTTTGACCTCCTCAGTCGTCCCCTAGCCGCCCCTTGCTGTCGATAGCATCACAAAGCCCTTATTATGATGTAATGTTGGCTACCTCACCGCAGCTTGGTTTGCCTTTTCTGTATTTCTCTGCTTCAAAGATGGTCTTTCAGAAAGGCATATAGGGAACATGGACCACCATTTACCCACCAGTTCTCTTAAGCAAGCAGTCTCTCCTATTTTTAAGGAAAATCCCACCCGTGGATAACAAGGATTTCATGAGTGTCTATCCGCTCTGAGATGTCTGGAGAAGACTCGGAATCAAGCACCTTGGGGAATCTCTGTGATCAAAAAAAGGAAACAGGTCATACTCTTTGTTAGAGACATGACTGCTAAAATAGGGGAATGGACATTAGAAAAACTAGTCGTGTCTTTGTATTTCTTCCTTTATGTGTATATTTACCTTTATAAATAGCTACAGATTTATTTTATTTGCTTGATTGAAAAAATACCAGTAATAACTATACTTCATCTGGCAGCACTGTAAAGTTTAATTAATGTTTCTAAGGTATGAGTTGAACTCACAAGATGAAAGATTCTATATATGGAATATGTGTTAAGTGCCCAATCTGGTTTAGTCTGATAATGGCCATAATTGTATGGTGTCCTACATTGCATGTCTTGATTATTGTGGTTTCAGTGAGTTCAACCTTGAGAAATGTATTTTAATGTTGAGAATTTGTTTAACGTTGGTTGGCAAATGTTTAGGTGTATAGAATATATATGCTTATGTTTTAATTAGCCCAATTATTTGATTCTTGATTCTTGATTTAAAATATGTTTTACAAAGAAACATGGAAGCTTTTTCTTCTTTTTAAATTGGTCCAAGGGTCCAAGAAGGCACACAGTTCTGGCTCTTGCACATCACATAGTAATATCTAAGTTGGTTTGTGCCATAAAATCTAAATGTTAAATTTAAAAATCATTATTAAAATTACATATCCCTATTAAGATGTGCTAAATATGTGAGGATTGACCAAAATAATGCTGTTAGGATATCAAAAGGAAGATTACTATTAGTGACCAAGATAAAAAAGGAAAATGTTTTTCCCACAAAATTCATTTAAAGATATTTCATGGAAAACTTAAATAGTAAGTTAGACTACCAGGTCATTCAAAGTGAGCTAGCGCTCAAAAGCCAAGGATCTGTGCTTTTACAGCCAACATGTAACTTGGAAGACTGAAGGGCTTAGATAATCATGTCAGATTAGGAACTATTATTATTAGAATGTAGTTGAATATTAACAAGACTCAGCTATGCTTTATGTTAGTATAAAAGTTTATCTTTGAATGGCAAAAGCAGTTTTCCGTCGTTTTGTCTTTTAAGAAATATAATTACATGAATTAGAACAAGCCCCATTTTTTTGGTCTTGAGAAGTCTTTGGTTAAATTGCCAATCCTTCTAGAAAAGGTATCGATTTGAGCCATTATCAGCTGGCCCATCCATACACCCTTCTAAGGAATATAACTATACAAATCAGAGCACCCTTGTTCATTAAATCTGGAAAATTAGCCAGTTAATCCTCCCCTGTAAAGACATGGCATTATTTTAGTCTCATTCAATGAGATATTCAACAAGTATTTACACCGCATTTACAGTTTTTCAGCATCGTGTGAAATATGAGACACAATAAAGGAGGGTTTAATGTTTTAGGATACCTTCCTTGGCTTTAAGAGTTTACAGTCTCATTTTAGGCAGCAAGAACGAAACGGTACATTCAAAAAAGACAGGAGTCCATCTTCCCCCCTCTTCAGCCTCTATCATAGTTCTCTGGCTCTAGGGCCCAAGTTCCATTTAGAGCCTTGCTCTCCGCCAATTGTCATCAAACGGCACCAAGCTGATAGTGGCTCAAGGGGGTACCTCTTTCTAGGAGGATTTACATTTTAACCAAAGACTTTTGAAGACCTAAAATTTTAAAAATAAATACATAAATAAAAAGTGGGCTTGTATAAACAGCTAGAAAAGGGATTTATTCTTAGAGTTCTGGTTTGTCTATCTCAAACTATACAACACAAAGTGCTTTTACACCACCCACCATCCTGTTACTCCCCTGCTTTTAAAAGCCCAGCTTGCTCCCTCCTCTCCTTGCTGTCTACCCTAGGCTACAGGGTAGACCAGATTTTTGGCTTTGCGTGCCAGAGGAGGGAAGGAAAAATTCTTCCTCTACCCTTCAAGGTCTTCCATCTGGATTAAGAATTAAATTTAGATGAGACAGATTAATAGGAGAAAAAAACCAAAGTTTTATTATGCGGGCACAGAGGCCCAATAATGACATTGAGACCCCAAGAAATGATTAAGACAGGCAGTTTTTATACATTTTAGACAATGAGACAACAAACTTGTGAGGAATTGACAGGATAAAGAAAACAGGTATTTGGGAGCTTTAATTAGTGGGGAATTCTAAGCAGAATTTAGATTGAGGTAGATTAGAAAAATGTTTCTGCAGCTTTCTCAGCTTTAAAGTCTCTGTCTCTGGTAATAAGGATTTTTTTTTTACATCTTAGTACAGGGAGGATATTTTTCGTATGGGAGATTTGTTTCTTGCTTTCAGGGGGATAGCAGAGGGTTTTCCTGTCCTTGCACCAGTTGCTTCCTAAGTAGCTTCAATTCAAAATAATCAGTAGGTCATTGTGTTACATTTTTGAGCCTCATTTTCCTTACTTCCAACCAGACATCTTACTTTCTGGCTTCATTGCACTTTCCATATTTCCATAAACAGGCCAGGCCCTTTCACAACTCCCTGCTTTGCCCATTTCCACTGCCCAGAATGCCTTTCACCTTCTTCCCTCTTGTCTTTTTGGCAATTCCCACTTTGGGACCCAGCATAAACAATTCCTCTGTGAAACTGACTATTCCCAAAATTCCTCCAAATCTCTTGATTCACCTGTTTCCAGAGCACTTTGTGCATTTGTTATAGAACTGTTACAGAAATTAGTTTTGAAATTGTCTTCCCCTACTGGCTTTCTCAATGGCAGGGACCTGGTATACTGTGTGGCATAAAGTCTTTCAGTACATGCTTGTTGAATGTTTCTGCAGTTAGAATCATCAACAGGTTGGCAGACCTAGTTTTATTTGACACTGTGCTGCCCCCCACCATGCCCTGGGGTTAAATAAAAACTCCCAGCAGGAAATTTACAAGGTTTATTGTTGCTAATTTAACCAATTTAGAGGTTTGTTCTTATGAGTAACCCATTTTGAAATTTGAGCTTGTGGAACACATTGGTAGAAAACATTGATTTTTGCCAATGTCATTCTCCTAAAATGTGTTCTTTGAAACAGTATATGAACTGAGATTTAGTAAAAGTGGCTATGTTTAGGGTGTAAATTGCTGGATTGATGACGGAGGAGATCGGGGTTGGGCTTGGTACTGGGAACTGTGTTGTGTGTGTGTATGTGTTGGGGGGAGGTGTTAGTTACCTTCCTATTTCTTGGGCCTTAGAATACACCCTTAACTCTGGCCAGCCATCTTAGAAAATGCTCCTGTTAGGAAGGTAAAAAGATTTGCAGCTACATTACTAAGAAAGGTATCAAAACTCAGGCCCTATTCATATTGGGTCAGGGGTGTCCTTGACACAAAAGAAACAATTTATAACTCAATCGAAGCAAAGACTCATTTTCTTTTCTTTTTGTATCTAAGCTCTTTTTCTTTTCCTTTCCTATTTTAACATCATGACATTTCTCCTTAGCACCAGGCATAATGCCATGATTATGTTTTCCTCCATTTCGGGTTACTCCCCTTGCCTTGCAACCCCTCCTTATTCCTTTATCTCTTTCAAAGTTTCCATTCTCGGTTCCCTAACTTTTTACTCCCTCCCTTCCTCTCTTCCTCCTCCTCCTCCTCTTTTTTCCCAGCTAGCTCACCCCGCCCCTCACCGTCACCACCTTCCCTCCCCTTCAGGCTTCTTCCCGCTGCTTCTCCCGCCACCTTCCCCCCACCCGGCCCGCCTCGCGTTCAGAAAGCTCCAATCAGGAGCTCGGGAGGTGTCTCGAAAGCCCGCCCCCTCCTCCCTGTCCACTTCTCTTCCCCCCCCTTTTCTCCCTCCCCCTCCCCCCCCAACTCAAGTCCTGCGGACCTGGGGGCTTCGGGATCTGGGCGCTATGAAAAGTGTCTGCCCAGTCACTTCCGGTAAGGGCGCTGCAGCGCGAAGCTCCCCGCGGGACCGTTAAGGAGGGGGTGGGAGTTACCAGCGGGCCGGGGGAGGACAGTGCTGCCAGGGAAGGGGAGCGGGAGAGGGAGGGGGAAGGACAGCGAGAGCGAGCGAAGGAGCTGGAGCGTCCTGGGCTCCTTAGCCGCCGCTTTCCCGCCGCTTCTCCCGGAGCCAGCTCCCCCGCCCCCCGGGCGCCTGCAGTGCTTCTCTCCACCCCCCACTCCCGAGGACAGACGCCGCCCCTCCCTCGCCGCCGCGTGACCGGAAGTGGCGCCATCTTTAGCCTCCTGTGCTATTGACAATAACAAGCCCTGGTTCTCTCCCCCTCCCCCTTCCCCCTCCCCCCAACCACGGCATCTCCCCTCCCAGAGAGAGGGAGAAAAGGAGGAGGAGCTGCAGCCTCACAGACTCACTGAGTCGCTCCTGCAGAAAGGGGGGAGAGAGACCGAAAAGCAGGGGAGGGGGACGGCACTGCCGTTTACCTGTCTGCCTCCTCATTCGCTCTCCCCCCTCGTTCGGCTCACTCCTGGTGTCAGCCTATCCGCCTTCCCAAACCCTCCCATTCCCCCGGTGTAGCCCCCCCCTTCACTTTCCTTCTCGTCCTCTGTGTTTCTCCTCTCTTTCTTCCCTTCCCCCTCTAGCATTGCCACCTTCACTCCTACACGCACGCAGGCATATAAACGTAGGTTTTTGATGCTCCTCTGCCTGTTGACCCCGCTATTTTCATGTTTCCAACAGGTTTTTCTTCCCCCAATCCCTCAGCTGCTGCTGCTGCTCAGGAGGTCAGATCTGCCACTGATGGTAATACCAGCACCACTCCGCCCACCTCTGCCAAGAAGAGAAAGTTAAACAGCAGCAGCAGTAGCAGCAGTAACAGTAGTAACGAGAGAGAAGACTTTGATTCCACCTCTTCCTCCTCTTCCACTCCTCCTTTACAACCCAGGGATTCGGCATCCCCTTCAACCTCGTCCTTCTGCCTGGGGGTTTCAGTGGCTACTTCCAGCCACGTACCGATACAGAAGAAGCTGCGTTTTGAAGACACCCTGGAGTTTGTAGGGTTTGATGCGAAGATGGCTGAGGAATCCTCCTCCTCTTCCTCCTCATCTTCACCAACTGCTGCAACATCTCAGCAGCAGCAACTTAAAAATAAGAGTATATTAATCTCTTCTGTGGCTTCGGGGCATCACGCAAACGGCCTAGCCAAATCTTCTACCACCACTTCTAGCTTTGCTAACAGCAAGCCTGGCTCTGCTAAGAAGTTAGTGATCAAGAACTTTAAAGGTAACCAAGGCCAAAATCCATAATCACCTACTAAGGATTTGACACTTGAGCGGTCACGTGCTCTATTTATGTTAATATATTAAACAGTATAGAGGTGGCCTAATGTTTTATGCATAATCAATGAGGTGGAGGGAGGTCCTTTTTTGGGTGGAGGGTTCATTTTCCGGGGGTGGTTAGTATTCTTGTGCTGAAGCATACACCGAGTGTTTCTGTGCAGTATTTTGATGTCTGGCTCAGTTTATATCTAATCTGTTACTCATTATAACATTGACAATCGGTATGATTGATCTGGATTATACAGGTGAGAAATTTGTATTCTAAAGAGGTTTATTTCAGGTGCATGGTGAGCCTTGGCACTGCTGGGATTTTTATTTTTATGCTTCAGTAGGCCACATTTTCTAGTCCCTAGAAATGCAGGTAGCAATGGTGATCTTTTCATGCTCAATGATGATTTATAGTTAGATTTATAATGTTGGATACTATATTCTTGAAACTCATTGTGGAAGCAGTATTTGGAGAAAAATATGATCTCTGCATTTCTTTCCAAAGGTAGGGTTTGGAAGTGAAAAATACTGTATACACAGAAGTAGTAACTCTGTGTACCACTAGTCTAAAGATAGGAACAATTACTACATCTATTTTTTTTTCACTAAAATGGGTTTTAAAGTACTGACCTGCAGCTTTTAGGACAATTTGTTCACTTTATGTTTGAGATACATGATTGAGAGTATTATGAATGCATTGATGCATATAAAATCAACAGTTTTTTAAAAACGTAATTGAGCTGAATTACTTTTTTCTGTTGACTGTGTTTCTGTTTTTCTGACTTAGTTTTTCAGCATCCTAAACTGGCAGGTAATAGATGCTAAGATGTTTATTAAATGGAGAAGTAAATGAATGAACTGAAGTAATATTTACCAGATAAGCGCCTTGTGGCTAAATATTAGTATTGAGGAAATTAGATTCTCAATGCTTGTGTTTTCAACATTGGTGTGGAAATCAGGAATACGCTCTGTTTTGTTTAAAGCAGAGGGTTATGGTGTTTATTTTTAACCTTCTTTTTTTTTTCCTATCACTCCTCTCCCATCCCCAGGTTCTTAAGAGTGTTGTAATCTTTCTGATTTAATAGTAGACCTTTCTAAAGTAAATGTGAATTGTAATTGGCTAATGTGTTCACTGTTCCACTCAAAGTATATCAATTTAATAGCCAAGAATTTTTAAAAGGGATGAGCTATGATCCTAATTCCATTTGCATACTGGTTTCTGAGGTTTTGTTTGGGTTTTTTTCTTTCCCTCTTAAACTAAAAATATATCATTAAGGTATTAGGATGTTTTAATTAAAAAAATACTCATTGCTGGTCAATGAAGTTTAAAGCCTGGGTTAAGATAGTCCTTTCCATTCTGAAAATGCTACATAGGTTCTGGAGTCATTTGGGTGTTTTAATTTTTTTAAAATTTCACTCTGCCCATTGATTTAGTTTAAATTAAAGGATGTTTCTCTCCATTTGTAGATGGTGCATAAATGTGAGGGTCAAACAGACTTGGATTAGACTCTCAGTTTTGCCACTGATTAGCTTTGATGACCTTGGGCAAGCCTTTCTAAATGAGTCTTCTAGCCTCAGTTTTCTCGGTTGCATGATAGGGATAAATAATACCTTCCTTAGAGCATTGTTAGGGAGATTAAGATGTTTGGAAAGTACCTTGTGCATAGTAGACATTTAGTATTTTAAATCTCAGGTGCAAAATTCACGTTGACTGACTTAGGTTTTACATGTGATGGAATTAGATCAGGATTGTTATTTTTTATCTGTGATTCTTGAATTTTTATTTTTTGAAGCAATACAATTGAAAAAAAGAAACCTCACCTTTAATTCTAATAGGTGAGTCAAAATGACTTAAACAGTATGCTGGCATTTCAAATTTTCTTTATGCTAAGCCTAAATACAGTAGCTACTTTAATATTTAGATGTAATAATTATAAAAATCACAATTTACCCTTAAAAAGCAGTAATACTACTATTGTACTTTAATGGATCCTTCCATTACTATATGCTACATATTCTGATACCAACATTGTACATATTATCTAGATAAGCCTAAATTACCAGAGAACTACACAGATGAAACATGGCAGAAGCTGAAAGAAGCGGTGGAAGCTATCCAGAATAGTACTTCGATTAAGTACAATTTAGAAGAACTCTATCAGGTATGTATTAATGTGGATAACCAGATTTGGCTAGCATAAATTGAGGTAGTATGTAGATGGATTTTACTTTGAAATGAGTCTTTATGTAGATTTTTGGTTTCCTTTTAGTGAAAATTTCTTGATCAATTTATGCACTATGTTTTATAATCAGGCTACACATTCTGACGTACTCTGACATTTTGACAAACTATGAGTACAGTCATATTGGTATATATTGGGTTTATCTTGGACCCTTCTGATTAGGATTTACAGTGAGGAGTATCTTGGTATAATCAAGGTTTTACCTGTAATGGAATCCTACAGCCCGGATCCCAAAGATGATTTCTGGTGACATGTCATTCTGTTACGGTACTTCTTGCTAAGTGGTGTTACTCGCCTATAGGAAAGGCGTCAAGAAATACAAATATTCTCTATACTTTATCCTTCCTCCTTATTAGTAGCCTTTTGCCATTTCTTTTTCTTGCTCTTTATGTTTGTTTTATTTTCTGGGCTACAAGACAGTCCTTAGCCAAAAAATGAGCATCAGATTGTAGTCCATTGACTTGGTCTGAGGTTCAGTTTGTTTCTTTTGCTTAACAAATGGGTCCATACTTTAAGTGTTTAGTTTAAATATACTATTAAGGGCAATTACTGATTTAGACTGCTTACTACCATGATATTTTGCCCTACTGTATTTTTTTAAAGATTTTATTTATTAGAGAGAGAGTGCACGCATGAGCGAGGATTGGGGGGGAAGCAGAGGCAGAGGGAGAAGCAGACTCCCCGCTGCGCAGGGAGCCCAATGTGGGGCTCCATCCCAGCACCCTGAGATCTTGACCTGAGTCGAAGGCAGACGCTTAACTGAGTTACCCAGAGGCCCCTGCTCTACTGTATTTTTGACACAGCCACTTCAAGAAGTTATTTTCCATTATAGCATAAGCAGTTTCATATAAAAAAAATACTTCAGAGTCCCAATAGCTTGCGTGTTTTTTTTTTAAAGATTTATTTTAGAGAGCGACAGCATATGCTATTGAGCAGGGGGGAGGGCAGAGGGAGAGAGAATCTCAAGCAGACTGTAACTGAGTGTGGAGCCGGACTCGGGGTTGTCACGACCCTGAGATCATGACCTGAGCCCAAAACGGAGAGTTGGATGCTTAACCGACTGCACCACCCAGGCACCCTTTTTGTGTTCTTCATATTGATAAATACCTTGTAAGAAATTAAGTTGGTTTCATTTATCAGAATTTGTAGTTTTTATCTATTCATTTTAGTTGCAGAGGTGGTATGGTAATGGCAAACCCTGGATTAGCAGTCCGAAGACAGATTTGGGATCTTCTTTTGGCGGCTATTACCCTTCTGATCTTGAGCAAGAAATTAGACCTCCCTCAGCTTCAGTTTCCTCCTCTGTAACAAACAGGGGAAAGAATACTTGTCCTCTCTACCTCATGGGGTTGCTTCTAAGAGTCAAATAAGATGTGAAAAACAACTTGAATCGCTATGTTACAGAAATATAAGATGATGTTATCACTAGTAAAGCTCTTTCATAAGTCACAGTGTGGCTTTTTCACTTGTAATAAGTCAATTAAGATCACCAGTTTCTGTTGCTGTGAGAATTGAACGAGTCAGTGCATGCAAAACACTCATAACGATGCCCAACAGGTAGTAGTAATGTTATACAATATAGTCGTCGTAACACTATGTGTCAGTGGTAGTACTAAGCTATTAAGGAGAAGCCCACTTACTTGGCTATGTTGGTATATTACATATGTGGCTCCTGAGTTGTACAGTAATAAAAGTAGAATTATGGAATTAGAGTTGGAAAGGCCTTAAGAGATCATGTAGTCCAATAGCTTTTCTTCATATAGTGCAGGTGGTCCTCTACAAATTAGGTTTATCTTTTATTTTAAGCATTATAGAAACCCTTTGTGAAGTAGACGGGGTAGTAGTTATTATTCCTCTATGATGAGGAAACTGAGTTTCAGGGAAGTTAAATAAATGTGCCCGGAGTCACACTGAGATGCCCAAGTTTTAAGTCCAGTGCACTTTTGCTCTTATGCTGCTTCAGGAATACACCACAGCACTTGGAATACCTCTGTAGTGTGGCATTAGAGGCAAATAGTTTCACTTTAGGGAAAAAAAGTATCCTCAAAGAAGGTAATTTTTTTCCTTCATGTATATAGTGTTTATTTGGATATGGTGGTATACAGCATCTTTAGTTTCAATATGTTATTTTATTTTATATGTTTTATATTTATAGCATATTGATTGTGATTGTTAATGAACCCGATTTACTTTACCTTGAATATTTTTCTAGAGCTTTTGGGTTCAAAAATATTTTCCTGATAAATTGATTCTGTTAAATTCTTTTATGTTTCAAGAGTTCATAGCTTGTATTTTTTGTTTTTCATTTTCTTCTACTTCAGAATTATCACCTGCTGTTGTTCAGTTGCATTTCTTTAGCCTAGCATCAGTGTTATAACTTTTTACTCTCTGCACTTTTCACAGTACTTTACTGTTTCAGCTATAATAAATACAAAAGCATTTGTTTCTAGCTCTTTTGTTGTTTTTGACCTTAATTTTGTAAATGCTCCTTTGGATTGTTCTCAGAAAGTTTATTTTGAGATGTTCAGGTTCAAAAAAGGATAAAAAGATAAGGGAGTAAAATTATTTCATACCATCTGGATTTCAGGTGCTTGTTTAATTTTGGTTGAAATGTAAATGAAAAGTACTCTCCTAAAGAGGGGGTAGGGGAGGGAAATGGCAAAAAAAAAGTACTCTCCTAACTCCTAAAATTGAAACTATAGAAGTATGTAGTATACCAAGCAAAAGTTCACCAGAACCCTCGTTCCCCCATCCTACCCTCTGTCTCTGAAGTAAATGCTTATTTGGCATATGTCTATGCAGAACTTTTTTCTGTGCATGCAAAACCGTTATGTTTTAAATCTTAAGCATGGAAGTCCCTAGTGTGGATTGCATGTACTGCCTCCCTAAGTTTTTAATTTCTAGAAAAGAACATGTGGTTCTGAGTGCATTTGCAAGAAACAAATGTCTTTTAAAAGTGATTTTAAAAAAAGATTTTATTTATTTATTTGACAGACAGTGAGAGAGGGAACACAAACAGGGAGAGTGGGAGAGGGAGAAGCAGGCTTCCCGCGGAGCAGGGAGCCCGATGTGGGGCTCGATCCCAGGACCCTGGGAATCATGAC